TGATTCAGCAGAATAACTTTGCGCAGAGAGGTGCTTTGGTCTGCACAGGGCATGTTCTCTTACAAGGTACTTGCGATATGGCCATGTTTAGAGGGATAAAGATCTAGCTGAGCTCCATCCGCAAGTGAATTTCCTTAGTTAAGACAAAGAGTTTCTACAACTAAGAGCAAACTCAGAAGTGAAGTGTCTGCGCAGCTCTGGTCATTTTTGAATGTTCCTACCTGAATATCTAGTCACCTGTTGGGCATGACTTGATTTAGCAGAGAGTTATTATTATGGTAGTATGGTTAGATTCCAGTTGGACTTGATGATCTTTAAGTTCTTTTCCAACCTGAGCAATTCTATGATTCTATGACATCTCTTAGTGTGGTCAACAGCAAGGCTGAAACTTGCTCTTCTAGCATCTGCAATACTGCTGATAAGGAACAGCTGTGAACATCAGTTTCATCTAAAAGGACATAAACTTACATTGCCTATCACAAGTAGGAAAGCAGTGAAGGAAATAATACACAGGTCCTAGGAATATGATGAAATGAAAGAAAACCAGAGATTGATTGGAATAAGATAGAGAATTTCTAGTGGGATTAAAAATAAAGTATGAAATCTTTATGCTTTCAAATTAGAGAGGAAATTTTCCATTGCCACTGGTAGGGGAATTATTTTGACAACTATATTTTAAAAATAAATAGCTGTTTTTCTTAAGCTTGTCAACAAGAGACTATGATTTTAAGGTGAAGCAAGGATCTGAATTAAATGAAGTGAGAATTTGAAGTGATCTGCAGAATGCATTTGCATGGATCTTCCCCCTTCAGAATTAGATCTATTTACTTACATTAAATAAGATTGCCTTAGGTGCTCTTTAATTCCAGTTGTGTGGGCATTTAAAGCATTTTAACTAATCTTGTAGTGAACACCAACTAACAGTCCTGGTTGTCACTGTGTAGCCAGCCCTTGTGTGGTAAATAATAGGATGATGTTCTGGTAAATGGTGGTTGGAAGTAATTGGCTCTCCAGATGTTACCAGTAAATAAGTAACAGAAAGAACTTCTTTATTTCCATAACAGTACATGCCCTACAGTAGGTGAGTTACATATATGCATGATTCTGTGAGAAGCAAGAGAGTGTGAGGAAAATATTGGTTATGTGGGATATCTTTTTAATGCAAAACATTTATTTAAATTTATTTAAATATTATTTAATATATTATATCATTACATATATTATATTAATATAATATAACATATTAAAATTATTTAAATTAAATAAAGAATTTGTGATTGTAGCTAGGTTTTCAGACCCATTGCAGCAATCACATGCTGCTAGGCTAGAAGGAAATACTCATTTCACTTTAAGTGTTCAGAATCTATCATGGAACCTGAAAGAAACAGAACTTCTAGATATTCTGAAGTAACAACAGCAATTTTACAAGACAGCATTAGAGCTGCGGTGACATTTCACCTATCAGTATCTCATTTCCAGAGAAGTCTGCATCCAAGGCCAAGGTCCAGCACGTCTGTTGAAGATGTTGCTGAGGTTTTCTAGTCTCTTGAAAACAGCTACTTGGAAGATTTAGCTGCTCTTTCAAATCTCTCTGCTGAGCGTAGGTTCCCTCTAACATAGCAGGAATTGAATGTTGTACTTGTCTAGCTTGCTGTAAAAGATGTTCCCTGAATCTCAGAGAAATGGAACAATGTTACTGATAAATGATGGATTTTATGTGATGTTACTTAAGAAAGCCATCATTTTTAGACTGTTGGTGACTGGGACCTGCCATGTTTCTTTCCTTCATGTGAATCATTTAAGTTATAAAACAAGATTTTTTTTTTTTTTTTTTTTTTTTTTTTGCTAACAGGCAAATATATCATTTAACTGTTCAAGAGGCTTGTTCTTCTCTCCTTGACCCTTTGCCATCCTCTTGGATGGCAGCAGAAGGCATTCAGCACAGTGGGGGTTCTCATTACCTCTTGATGTTTTGTTTGGTTTTCTGCCTGTTGTTATTTAATGGTTCAAATCCTTTCTTTGCTGCTCTGGGAAGCTATTTAGCAAGAGATGTACTTTGCATTGTTGACTCAGAAAAGAGTTTCATTTCAGAGCTGTGGCATACTCCTTCACCATTCCCTCCTGCTGTGTCCCTCACTGGCGCATTTCCCAACTAAGCCTTTGACCTGGTCTTCTCAAACAGGAATTTTGGGGAGTGTGACACAGGTGCTGCACTGCTTTGCTCCAACTATAAAACTCTGTTTTTTTAATAGGATATATATATGCATATATATGATGCCTGTGTAACATCAATGATGTGGATTAAGTCCTTGGCTAAAATTAATTGGTGTATTTTTGCAAAGGCAGAGATAGGTAAGTGGAGCAAGAACAGGAAGTACTGCATCCAGAGTAATAGTATTGAGTTTACAAACAGATGTTAAGAAGTAGGATCGGATATACTCATCCAGTTGTGCTTTTACTCTTTCCTGAGCGTTTAGGGCCATTGATGATGCTTGAAGACAGTCACAGCCTTGAAAATCAACTTTGTCAGATACTTTATGGCCATTCCTGTGTCCTTACATGAACCTGTTTTATCAGTGGGAAGGGAGAATGAAAATTAAGTAAGGATCAATTTTTTCAAATGGGACATCAGCAGTGAGGTTTATTTCCAGATCTATGATGAAAGTGCCACTGACGTACACACAGGAAAACTGAAAGTCAATTTTACAGAAAGAGCCTCTGCCAGGTGCTGAACATCAGATTTTTATGTCAGGTCACTGCAAGCCTTTTGGAAACTCAGATGAGCTGTTTCACCATGTGTTCCCCTCAGATGGTGAAAACAGCTTGTTTGCACGGAATGAGCAAGTTCAGATCTGACATCACTTGCAGCATGGTGTGTAGCTGTGCTGTTACGTGCGTGCTTCCTGCCCCTGTGACAGCACCATGTGGACTAGCACAGTGCAAGCTTGTCAGCTGAAATAATTCAAAGAAGGTAGAGAATATATGGCCCAAAAAACAGATATTGCTTATTGGAACAGTGCTCACAACTTCCCACAGTCTTGGGCACATACACATTTACAGGAAACCCTGTGTCTTCCATGAACAATCACCAAGAATGGTTGCTCTGGTTGAAAGGCTTTGTAGATTTGATCCATGTAAATGTTAAAAAGAGAATTATCTTGGACTGAGTATTTTGCTGCTGCTGTGGTAAATATATGTCTGTTGTTTGCTGCTTTAACTAGTATCTCCACAGCTGCTGAATGGCAGCACTTCTGCATGAATGCTCTTGTTGTGTCTGCTATAAAAGCCAATTCTGACTTCAATCCCTGCATGAAAAGGAATTGTGGTTAAACAATTTTCCCTATCGAATCCCAAGATGTAAAAGATACTGGTGCTGTTGGATTATGAGGTTCAATCTGGGCTTGTTGCAAAACTGAAGCTCTCTGTAAAGCACAGTGTTGAAAGTAGGAGCAAAAAGTCTTTGGTGCAGGGGCAATGCTCCAGACCTGACTTCTGCAATTTCCAATTTGGTTTCTTGCAAAATGCTTTCATCCAATCATACCATTTATTTGCTCTCAAAGATAATTTTATTTAATGTGGATTGGGAAATATGACATAACCCTTGCTATCTGTATTTCATTTTCAGTGTGACGTGATATTTTCAAGTACAAACAAAATCTGTTCAGCAGCCAGTTTTTGAAAGAGACTGCTTTGTAGAATGTTCTGAATATCAAGGGAAAAAAAAAAAAACTGCTGTACTGTCACAGTTACTTAGCAAATTCTTTGCTCTAATATTAGATTACAGCCACCACTGTGGGTGGAGAGAGGTGGCTTATCCTTGAGTCCTCTCTTGTTTCGCATCCTCCATAGCACAGCTGCAGGCAGACAGATGGGGTGTAGCTTAGTATCAACAGGAGAATCAGTGTGTTGCAGGATTTAAGGATAAAGTTGAAAGACACTAATTTTCCAGCACAGTGAGTACTGGGCATGGTAATTTAGCACTCATGGTTATACCAGCCTTCTGTGATGTGTCTAAAGGAATGGAAGGTTGATTCCTCCATTATTCATAAGCCATGATGACTTCAACAATATTGTGCTGCTGCTAGCTGTAATAGTACTATTACAAGTACTGAAGAAGAGAGGATTCTTATTTTGTTGTTACTGGGCCAGAGACTCTGGTTTCAGATGTAGGGAAGAGCCTGTTGGGATAGGTGAAGAGTGATGATGTCAAAACCTCAAAAACATTTTTAAGTGCAGAACTAAGAACTTTTTGTGGTACCACTGACAGGGCCACTAACAACACCCAATAGGTGGTAGTGATGTTGGAAATCTGTCACTAATTTAATTGCTATGAAGCCTATCATAACTGAAGTTTTCCACTCTGTAGATTAATAATTCTTTGGATTTACAGAATTATCAGAATTCATAGAATAACACATTGCAGATATGTTTTTGCAAGTGAAGTTAGTGCACTTGGTGTGCTTCATCTTCTTTACTGTAACAACTTCTGTAATTCATGTTTTTGTTTGCATTTATAAATTTTGTTTACTTCTAAGCCATACACAAAAGTGGAACAAATTCCCCGCTTACATCCACACTGTGCTTATTTGGTGTGTTCCTTGCTGGTAGCCTTAAAACAGATATGGTGCTGTGCTTCGGTACGTGAGTGCTTTGTGGATTATTATTTCTTTATCATTTCAAATCATCATTTTCATTTTCTCTATCATTTGTCATTTCTTCTCAATTTTATATTATTGTGTAGCTTTACTTGGAGCCTGTAGGCTAGCTCTGATGTATGATGGTACATGCAATATACATAGGTTTCTTCCAGTAACAACAATCCTAACAAAAATGGAAGAAATAGTGTACAGTGTGTATATGGTAGTCCTGACTGCTTAGCACCACAAACATAGAACTTCAGTGAGTTGGGAGATTGGCTACTGGTTATTCTTTCGTAATGACTTAGCAAATAAATGCATGCATTGGCTTTCAATCTAATTATGCCATGTTCTTCTTCACAGCTTCCTGTTATGGGGGGAGCCTTTATGGACTCACCAAATGAGGACTTCAGTACAGAGTACTCTTTGTTTAACTCATCAGCCAACGTCCATGCAGCTTCTTCCATGCAGAATCCACCAGAAGAAACATCCCGGTCTTCAAACGATGCCATATTGTTATGGATTGCAATCATAGCAACAATTGGAAATATTGTGGTTGTGGGAGTGGTGTATGCCTTCACCTTCTAGGATGCCTGTCACTCCAAACACTGGAAGAGAGAATAACTGCAGCAGTATTTGTCATGTGTTTGTATGTATGTGTGTATATATACATGTATATCTATATAAATACATATAGGTAGGGACTTTGAGTAAGTACTGCCACAATCACAGAAAAGAAATGCAAGCTAATCATTATGAATCTTGATTGCTGAAAGTTTATGTTATGGCAAACTATATGGAGGTGAGAGCTCTAAGGGAGAACAGCGCCAACACAAGATTTGTACGGAAATATAATGAAAGGCAGACCATTGTACTTATAGTGCATACAAAAAGGAAGTGAGATTTATACAGGAAGTGCTTATTTTCTACTGTTGAGAATTTTCTAGACGCTTTTCTGGGTTTTGTCAGATTTTTGTGCATTTTTTTTACTGTGGTATAACATTGTCTGTAATTGTTCTATGTCATAGTAGCTAAACATGTTAGGTTTCCAGGTGGCATAGGCTCAGTTCTGATACAGTACAAGTTCATTGTGTGTGCATTCTAGCACTTGCATAAGCTAAGCTGTGTTCAAAATCATGAGACTTAACACTATGAGAGGCAGATGCATGCTACTTATACTTGCCTTCCAGTATCAATGACTGGATATGATAATCTAGGAATTGATGCTCCACCTGTCTGCTGGTTGCAGGAGGCACAAAGTGTGTGTGGAATAGAGCAGCACAAGCCCCTGTTTCGATGTAGAGTTACTGGATTGCAGTGACAACAGCAGTTTGTAGATGTTTCATCCAGGAACCAAAGGACAAATATCACGCTTTCAAGCTTCATTATTTCATCATAATCCAGGTTTTCCACAGAGCACATTCTTTCATAAGCATATAGTTGTAGCAAATGAACGTGGGGGAACTGGGAAGCCTAATTAACAGTGAGTAATGTCTGATGAACAAAGTTGGGTTGAAAGAAATATGAAATACTTCTGTGCTCACAAGGGAGTGAGTACAGGAGTCTGAAATAACACAGAGAGGTAAGAGGTGGCTAGTAAACAAGTACCTCAGTCTTAGTAAGTCTCTGGGTTCTGACTCCTAGAAGTGGCTTTTATAGAGCCTACTGTAAGTAACAGCTCTGATCGCTGAATTTTTTTTCTACTGGGGAACATTTTCATTGTATTATTTCCATAAGCACTTCCTTTTCAAAACAAGTTGCAGCTGTTCTTGTTTCAGAGATTACAAAAATCCTGAGGGGAGAGGAAAAAAACAAAATCACCTTTGTTGAAAATCTCCTTCTTCCTACAAAAAGAATAAACCACAAAAAATAAAAACCCCAAAATATTTGAACTTTGAGGCAGTGAAAGAGAAATTCTAGCTCCAAATCTATATGTACTGCCTCATGCAACTACTGTGCTAATTCCAGAAAGCCTTGTCTGAAGGCACAGAGCCTATTTTTGACACTTTCCTGCTACTGAGCCTGAGGCTGGACTAAGAGATTGCAAATCCATTGAGAAGTTTAAATTTTCCTTCTTTTCTCTTTAAACTCATTTCCCTTCAGGGCTGGTGGAGAGTTACTTGAATCAAAGCAGCATGCCCCAAATTGGTGATTAGAATTAGCACTGTGTATACTTTTTCCTGTCTTTGTGAACTTGCTTTTAAAGATGTAAACATGCAAACAGCTAGCAAGAGAGAAAAATAGAAAAAGTTATCCTAAGGATGAAAAATCCAATGACAACTCAATTGAGAAACTGAGCATCTGTGTGTTTAACTATTTTCCAATTTGGAGCAATTCTGTAAAGATGGTGGAGGACAGAAGAGATCTGTTCTAAGAAAAATCTTGAGAATTAGTGTTATGGAAGCTTAGCCACACAGAAAAAAAAAAAAAAAAAAATAATAATAATAATAATAAAACACCTATAGTCCTAAGAAAAAACTGCAAAATCTGTGCTATTCACTGTCCTAAAGTAGCTGTTTGCCCCTTTGTAGGTCAAAAATAATGAAGTTTTAAAAATGGGTAAGCTGTATAAATTGTGTACCTGTCCTGTTCTTCAATTCTTCTTTATCCTTTCTGAGCCAAAAACAAACTGTTAAGTGAGGCTGGAAGGCTGCAGAGGGGTTTTGAACAGGGAACTGAGCATGACGGGATCATGTTCACAGACACACAGGACCCATGGAACCATCACGTGAAGTACAATTTTCTGATATTCTCTTGCTTTTGTAGTTAGATCAATTACTTACATGCTTTCTTTCAGAATTTCAGTAGGCTCTTTAGTTACACGAAAACCTGGAAGCACATGAACAGCAAAACATTTTTCACCATGATTAAAACTAATTTGACAATAAGGTACTAGCCTAGTGAGGTTATTCTACTGCCAAGTAACTTTGTTTACATTTCCTAGAATATTAATCTAAGTGGGATTAGCAATGTTTGCAGTATTTTTTCCTCAAAGTGCTGTACTAAATTCTTTACCCATGAAGAGATGCATTGAAGAGGGAAGAACAGAGAACCACCACTCTGCTAATGAACCCAAGTGACACTTCTGTGTTGTTTTTCCCAAAGAAAGTGCCCTACTTTCATGTGAAATTAATAATAGTAATCGCAGGAGTGAATGAACTCTGACTCTCTAACCCAGATCATTCTCATACATACTTTCATCATTACAGGCTGAGTTGTCAAAAAGGGCCAGACAGAACTTTAATTAAAGTAATTGGCTTGACAGTGTGATAGGAAAACAGAGTGCAGGCAGCAAGCACAAGCAATTGCTATCTTGTAGTTAAAGATGTTAATTGTACTGTCAGTTTCCTGCTGCAAAAAAAACAAAATATCTCTAACATTCAGGTGCAATGATATTGCACACAGGAGTATACACAGAATACTGTCAGATATATAAAAAGATCCCTATATTAATGCAGGAAGGCTGGTTCAGATTCTGGTAAGTTTTGACAGCAGTAACATACTGTGAATGTTTCTGGATTCTGTTTTCTGGCTGGATCCATTACAGTCAATCTCCTAGAAGAATCAGGAAGGTTAAAATTGAAGCATTAAAAAAGGAGTGTCATCCAGCATTAAGTGCAGCTAAACCACAGAGGGGAATGGGGAAGAAATGGTGGCAGTTTCATAGATATGATTCCTTTGAAATGTGCTATTACTGCCTCTTTATGTGCGCGTGTAAGTTATACCCTGAACTGTCAGCAAGCTTGACTTGGAATGCTATAGCTTCTCCTTTCCTTGGAGCCCAGCAGCTGGAGAAATGGTATCTGTCACTGAGGGACAACAAGTAAGCCCGAAGACACTCCCCAGAGTCATACTGTAAAAAAATTGAGGAGGCTTCTGTGCTTTGCTGAGTGTGTTGTGTATCAGCTTCAGAGCAGGATTCCACCTGTAGAAGATCTATGCTTTTATTTAAAGCATTTAGCACAGATAACAGTTAGAAGAGCCTGATCAGAGTTTGTTTTGTAGCAGATGAAGCAGAACTACCTGCAGTAGTAGACTCCTAATTATGCTGTAAGCACAAAAGCAATACTTTGATTTGCAGTGTTATTGATGATCCCCAGGAAGCAGGGAAACAAACTGGATACCCTTTGTGCTTTTTCTAGTCATGGCCTCTAGGGATCTGTGACAACATATCAAATAATCAAACTGTCACTTACAAATTTTATTTTGGTCTAAGCATCCAGCAGATTGATGCAGCTGCTGTGCAGCTACTGCAGCAAGGAGATGGAAGGCTGAGCACGCGCGGAGGTAGATAAAAGGGGACATTAGATAGGATTGGGTGAGGAAATGCATGCAGCTATTCCTGTTACAGTTACAGTTATTCCTGTTACAGCCAGCCAGGGCTGGCTATCTGTGATTTTCCACAGCATTAATATCCCCCAAAATAAAATAAGGGAGCAAAATATATTTTCATGTCAATGCATTTGCAAAATTGAGCAACAGACTTTGAAGCTGATGCAGCAGCAATAGCAGAGGGACTCATCTGCTATGATTAATGTATTTAGCAATTTAAACGAAAAAGTGAGCTTACAGTTACCTTGAAATTAAAGAGGTCCCCTCTCCAAAATCCTTGTTTGCAAATGGACTTGAGGGTTGTCAGCATCCCATCAAACTGCTGAGCAGTCTGTAATAAGAAAGCTCCAGTGAATAGAATAATAAAATTCAGCAAGGTTGGAAAAGTCATTCAATCCAACCATTCACCTATCACCAGTGTTTCCCCCTAAAACACATTCCCCAGTACAAAATGCAAACATTTCTTGAACACCTTTAGAGACAGTGACTCTACCACCTCCCCGGGCAAAATAGAAGCAGCCAGACATTTTACTGCAGCCCTGTACATTTCTTTGGAGTTAAAAAGGAAAATCCTTTTATCTGGGACCAAACTAAAATACGAGTCTTTGGTCTGTAGGTTGTTATGCATTTTGTCTATTATTAGAAGCTTTCTTGTTGCAGTTCTCAAAATTATTCCAGTTCTTAATATCCTCTTCACATTGCTCTGCAGGCTGCTGAGAGCTATTAATTTCATGTAGCTCTGTTCATTTACACAATGTAATTTTACTGGGTTCCTGTTGCTAATCACAGAGCAGAATCTAGAAAATTATTCATTCCAAGGCAGTGTTCCATTATAGAGAAAAATAGGCTGAAAATCAGAATTGTAGATCAAAATGCTTCTGTGTTTTTGGAGCACACAGAGCTCTGGTAACTGGATTTCAACTGGCTAATGTTCAGAAAGAAAAAGGGCAATCAGGTCTCTGATGATAATGTCAGACATCAGGGTTCTGACAAGCAAAGCTTAGTGCTTCATTAACTTCTCATCTGCCCCTCTGAGTCCCGCTGCTTTCCTGCACACACAGTGTGAGCTGAGTTTCAGTGAGCTAACCATAAGATACAGCATGTCCTTCCTGTCTTACAGCTTGCTCATCCTCAGGGAAACAAGATAATTTATTCTTTTAGCAGAAGAGCAGAGATCAATATTCTGTTAGGAATGTTGTTACCTGGTACATTGGTCAGTCATCATAAGATCAAGGTCAGGATGGTTTAACAAGCAGTAAGCCCTTTGCTGCTGATCTGGGAACACCCTAAAGAACTCAAAACATCTTGAGGTCTTAAAGTTTTCTAATGCCTTCGATCTGATTTTTGTCTTTCCTCATACAGGTCCTCTTTTTGCCTTTTACCTTGTCCTCCCAACTCAAGATAGTAAAATTGAAGTAAACTCTTTGCTTGTATATGGACATATAGGGAAATCCTAGCAGGTTGGAACCAAGCATGTCCCACTGTGGATTTGGCACTTCTAGCACAAAGTTGAAGAAAAGATTCCAGTAGTCTCTCCAGAACTCTCTAGGGAAGTGTGTCCTCACATGGTATGGCAATTTTGTGTCATTCTGGCCTGTTAGTACCAAGGTAAAAGTTCTTTCATGCAAGCACAGCCACTGGTTCCATCTTTTTGTACAATTTGGGATGATTATGCTATCCACTCTTACCTTTCCAGTGCAAGCTGCCAGTGAAGAAATTTTCATTTGCAGAAAATGCATAGAAAGCTTCCCATTTTGCAAGAATCATCTTCTAAAGTGCTGCTTAGTCTCCTGCAAAACAAACAAACAAAAATATCCAGGTTTGTTACACAAGGAATGTTCATGAGTCAAATATTATTTGTACAGTAGCAGCACCTCAATTTACTACTTTAATCTACAGCTTCATGCCAGTAAATCTTAAAGGCAATCTCATTATTACTGATAATTAACAGAAGTGGAAAAACAGAGACAAATCATTTTTCAGGAATGTCTCAGACATCACTTTATTCCTCTTACCTTCCCAAAGTAGCCTGATGTGAACTCTCATCCATCACTTCAAAATCACTTATCACCATGCATCTTCATGCCTTCGTTTTATTTCTCCCTTCTTATCTTCCTTCCATTCTCTGGCATCAGAGCATGAGCGTTTGGATGTCAGCAACGTTCCTCAGCCGTTCTTACCAACCTCTGGTGACCTTCACCGTAGCATTATACAAAAATTAAAATAATCTCCCTTCCAGTAGATAGATCTTAGTCATTATCTACTTCAGCAAACTGCAGTGTATTTCCCCAAAGCAGAATAGGAGAATGCAACCATTAAGCTTTCCAATTGTAACATCCGGTATCTCTTATAGCACAAAGGTACCTTTTTGATTTTTTTCCCCCCACAATTACTACTGCATCATTCTGTTTTCTCCAGCCCCAAGTCCTTTGTTTTTCTTTGCAAATCAGTGTAATTGGCAAAGTACTTAGGATAAAGTGAAAGGTACTAAAAGCACTCACTAAAAAATACACAGAAGAAGAGGAAAGCTCTGTATGATTTACTGTAGGGCCAAGCCCTGAACCAAAGGTGATTCAGTAAAGAAAAAAAAGCACAGTGTGCTGAGATGCTGAGCCATTTCACATCTAAGTGGCACTTGTACTCAGATGTGTGGTAAAGTGGTAAAGCTGCTATAATCAGCTTCAGCATTTCTAAATCTTATTTTTAAAACACAGTGTAGTCCTTAGGACTGAAAAGCACTGAACAACCTTCCCTCAGTCCATGCTTGTTCTGGTATTGATTTGGGAGTTTCCTGAGTTCCAGTCACCAAGCTATGTTGCGTTTCCTGAGGAGTTCAGCTCCATTTATGAGGGAGATTAAAGTATTTACAATTATAGATCTAAAATATATTTCAGTTGCTGTCTTCACAAGGAAGCTGATGGTCTTAAGCATGCAAGCTGCTCTTTGTAGAGGGATCTTTGCCTCCACCTGGAGTCAACTGGATTAATAACACTTTGTCACTTCTGAAATCTGCTTCAGTGGATCAACTTACATGACTAGCTCTGGGTTGCTGGCATTCCTTTTTTTTTTTTTTTTTTTATAATTTTAAACACATCTAAAGATGCTCGTACTTCCATACTCACAAGAAAACAAGAAGAGCACTGTATTTTTTTAAATGAGAATAAAAGACAAGTCTGAATATTTTGATAGATTTGCTGGAAAGGTATATAACATAGCAAACTGTTGCACTATTTTTTCTATTGTCTGAGCACCGAACCTGAAAAGTGTTTTGTTATTTCTCTAATCCTCTAACTTCTCTTTCAGTTATGAAGCTATAAAAGTTTAGAAGGAAGGGAATGCAAAGCCTGAATGAAATTTTGAGCTAATGTAAATAAATCCAGTAGCTAGCTTTATGAGGTAGCCTTGAGGTAGCCTATACCATTTACTTTTCAGTTAAACAAATAGGCAATATTTGAGATACAGTTTGTTTTTCAAAATAAACTTATTAGTGGCACTTCCAAAAAAGCATCTGTACTTCACATAAAATGGAAGCGTTTGGAAATGACATCCTCCTTCAGCTCACATGAAAAAAGTTTACAGGAGCCACTTAAAATGCACTGTCATTTTTCTTAATAATAGTGGACAGTTTAATCTCTTGTTCTTTGTCTCTGCTATCTTGTTTTGCACACGAACGGGTTTGCTGGATTTCTTTGTATGTTTTTTGTAGTATATGGGTTGCTTTAAACAATAACATTTACTCTTGTAATAATCGTTCTTGAAATGTGGATCTCTGTCTGTAAAGAGAAAAACAACTTAAAGAATACCCTCTGTTTTCTCTAAGTTTACTGTAATAAGCAAGTTTAGCTAACAGAACTGCATTCTTTTCAGCTCCTGTTATATTCTTATCCAGTTATTGACTGCTTTCACTGTGTGTGTACTTGGTACTGATTCAATCTTTTACTATGATGAAAATGACAAATTTTGTTAACATCAGGTAGAAACCGTGTTTTTGGATAAAGTTCTTCAAATTGGTGGCAACGTGTAATTTTTCATTTTAGTCTGTTTATGTGTCTGTTTTTAGAAGTCTGTAAATGTATCTATTTAATTATTATTTCCTCCAGTGGCATACAGACACCAACAAGTTGTTAAAATTTACAAATCTGCATGATTTGTCAGCCTTTGGTAACTGTCTCCATTTCATGCATGGTACAAACAAAACACTAGGCTTTCTCTACAGAAATGTGTTAATCTTCTGCCAAAGAATCTCAGCCTACCTCAGAGCCAAAAAAAGAAGACTCAGCTTCCTCAATCTTCAGCTCAGAAGTCCTTATAGCCTGAACCCTTGTGGAAGTTGGTGCTCTCTCTCAGCTCACTCCTCAATCTAGAACAAGCCTACTTTCAGACTTTCAGTGCAGCACAGGCATTATTTTTTTTTTTTATTGTTCCCCAAAAACTCCTGTGCTAGGGCAGACATGTGGAAGATTTTGTTTTTAGGAATTCAAGGAGGAGCTTCAGATCTCACTGTAGGATGTTCAGCAATTTTCATAAAAGTAAATGGTGGCGAGAGGAAGAAAGGAAAACGTTTGTCTGTGCTAATGCAATAACTACATGAAGATCACCATCTGCCTTGTAATTCCCCCAAAACAGAACCAATGAGCCAAGTATGTTCAGAACCACTAAGGAAATGACAAAAGGATGTACTGATTATCCTCTCATGCACAGTTTTAAATAAAAATTAGACTTACCTTTCCATGAATCAAACTCAGAACATCACAAAGCTGCTATGCCAATCCTGATGGCAAATCTGACAAAAACACAGAAAGACATTTTTTTCTGCTTCCAATTTATAGCAATCTAGCAACATAACATTAAAGATTACCCATTGGAATATGAGAGTGCAATTATTACACTACAGTGATGTCCAATAAGAAGTCACTTTCTGTTGCAACTGTGAATATCTGGCTGCATCAGAATCACACAAATCTTAATACAGATTGTTTTCAAATTCTACAAAATAATTCTAAATTATTTCTAAGTAGAAAGGAATATTCTTTTGAGCAGTTAAGGAAGAAAATACCAGCCACATACAGCTATAACTATATGTGTTCATACTAATAAAACCATTTCAAATTTTTGGAAATATTTTCTCACACAGCATTACCTACATTAAAATAAATTCATAACCAGTTTGTTTATGTAAATTCTTCCATAAAAAGACTAAGAAAGAATATCTTTTTTTTTTTTTTAGCCCAACAGAGCCTGTCCACAATAGGGTTTCAACCACCACGTTTTGCATTGTCTAGTGCTACATTAGAGCTTTATTTAGGCTGAAGAATAACTCAAACTCTAAACTGGAGTGGCTGTACAACTTCACTACAGCATATGTACCTCCACTAGCATTGAAGAAGCACTGTAAACAGCCTGCTTTCCATTTCATCACCTGCCATGATAAAAGAAGCAAACAGGAGTTTGTGCTTTGCTTTGAATTCCTATGAGATGTCACAGTATTTTCAAAAGGCAGCAGGCTGAGAGCACAGCACGATGAAGTTGCCAGCCCATGTACAGCACAGGATTTGGCACGGGGACATATTCCTTTATACACTCAAATAATCCATGCATGCTAGAGGCAAGAAAGATGCTCCTTTTATGAAAAGTTTGTCTTACAGTTCTTGTTTTAGCTTACAAAGATTTTGTTCTTGCAAACACTAGTTGAGTACACAAGCAACTGTATGTTCTTCCATAGCAATTAAAGTATGGGTAAAATTTTATAGTCCCTGTGCCTCCAGTGCAGCAACAGGATTTTAAATGCAACTGTTCTGTTTTCTCAGCAGGTCAGCTCGTGTATCAAGTGCTGCAGCATTTTATTTTTAATTTTCATTTTTTGTAATCTTTCTCCTCTTTCATTTCCAACCCTGTGCTAATACTCTAGTTCTTCTAATCTCAGGCATTATTTATCATTTGAAAAGAAAAGACTAAGGGTAAATATTCTTCAAAGTGATGACAGCTAATGCAAATAATGTATGTAATTATTTCCCTTACTTTCTGGTAAGTACCCATTGATTAGTTTGAAAGTCTCATGGTTTTGTTCGTGATTTATGTGACCATACACATTTCCTTTAGCCTTTCAAGTTTCCATCTTAGCAACCTTCCCAAGTAATTTCTGCTGACTGCTTACTGGTTTCACATCACTAAAGATCAGTCCCAATCTTATAAAGTACAGTTTGATTGGAGTCTGACTCAAGCCAGACTCAAGCTTTGACTGTATAAGAATTGCTCTTACCCTCTTAATTCCTTGGAAGAGGAATACGTCCGAGCTCATTCTCAAGACTGTTGTGCTTGTTGCTTCATTTCTGCTTGCAGGATACTCTGGATGAAACCTGGATATTTCTGTCTTCCAACTGCAATTTAGAATTCTTCAAGTGATTTTGGAAAAACAAATCCACTCTAAATGAGAAAGAAAATAACCCACAAAACAAGCAAGCATAAAGCCCATGATATTTTGTCTTATTTCAAAATGTTTTAGCATAGCTTCAATTTTATCGTGAGATGCTTTAAGATTTGACAGAAGTCAGAGCATTTTTGTACAATACAATGTGACAGTGTAGCTGTAAATAATCATTGATTTTTTTATATTCTAAAACTTGTTGTATAATCTTTTCATTGGGGCCCCCATCACAAGAAAGACATCAAGCTCTTGGAGCAGGTCCAGAGGAGGGCCATGAAGATGCTTAAAAGGCTGAAACACTTCTCTTATGAAGGTACCTGAGCTTGTTGACTCTGGAGAAGGACCTGCGGAGACCTCATTGCAGCCATCCTTCAAGGCACCCAGAGTCATCTTGGTGAGCTGGTGAGGGGCAACCTGCTACTGCAATGTGTTAGAACTAGGTGAGCTTTAAGGTCCATTCCTACACATGACATTCTCTGATTTTATGATTGAATAATCAACCTTTAAATATATCAAGAAGTAAAAAGCACACTGCACAAAAATTACAGTGAAATTTTTCATAATCTCTCTTCTGCAAGAAAATTAGTTCATCAGATATTTTAACACATTCAAGTGCTGGCATTATGGATGCCTCCCCCACTGAGGCTGATTTCTGTCAGACAGGAGCCACCCTTACTTTATCACCCAACAAACAGCCCTGCTTCGTTCAGCAGTTGCATCATACTGCGTTTGTTCACATTGCATGTGTAAGAGCCGAGCTGTGCTGAGAACAGATGACTTTAGAGCCTAAAAAGCTCTTCTTCAAACCAACTGATTAATTGAACACCACAGGAAGGCATCACAGATGCTGCCAAAAACCACATATTGTTCTATTGAGAAACTTCTGCTGGGATTGAGTACAGCGCTGGGCTGGGACCAAGGATGGTAAATGGGGCAATATCCTTCAAAGCAAGGCACACAGCTGGCCTGGAAATTACTGCAGAGTAACCACTGCTTGTGGGTTAACCCAGCTTTTCTTTGTGAATGAGCCCTATGACTCATCCCAGAGATAAAGGAAGTATCTCCTTCAAACCTGTGTAGACAACTTCATTGTAACACATCCACTTCAACCAGAAAGCACCTTCAGAAGAAAATAAATGTTAAATCAAGAGGTAAAGTACTGTTCTAAATCACCAAAAAAAAAAAAAAAAAAAAAAAAAAAAGGCAGATTACGTTTAGCGTAGAGGTGAGCATAGTGTCCTTCTTAAAACACTCCAGTATTTCCTCTCTGGCATAATAAAAGCTAGGGAAAATGCTACCATGCTAGATTAGTAAAAATCCTGAGTGCAAAAGCATTCAAGAACAGGAAATAAATAAAACCCTAACATCTTCTATTTTTCCTTCTGTATATCTCAACGGCCTATTTCATGTACGCCTCACACACAGAAGAGTAGTGCAACAGCAAGATTTAAAAACAAAAGCAGTTTCTATAGTACCATTTTAAGGTTTCTCTTTTCCTGATCAACTTGAGAAAAAGTCACTTTTGCCCTAGATACCTGAAGTGAGTAATTGTTTTCATGCAAAAAGAAGTATCTCACTCTGTCTTGGTTTTGAATCTCACTTCAGCTCAATGCAGGCATCCACAAGTTAGCATCAAATCCACATCTCTTACTGCTAGAGGAAAAATTGGCTAGAAGTCATGATATCTCTGAATTTCTTTAGATGCATATTAGTCTGCTAGAAATCTGTATAGTATTTACTAAGAAGCTTTTAACAAGTTCAGTGGCTTTGTTAACCTGCGCCTGGATATTTGTGCTTTTCTCATGCCTTTGTAAAGTAGAAAATCGCTGAGTGGAGAAGCAGTGATTGACTCGGCTTCTCTTTTCCCTGCTGAGTGTCCTAACTGCTAAGCCACTTACATTCAATGTCTCTCATGCACTTAATGTTTTATTAGAGTCTGAATGCTAAAATGGGAGCATGGCAAATAGCATTCCTCAGTTCAGTAAGTGCATCTGTCACCTTAGAAATGAAAGTTCATGTCCCCACAGCAGAGCTGGATCCTGAGCTGCTCTCCACCACATTTAGGTAAGTGCTCTGACCAACAAACACGGAACATTGAAGGGAAGGAGGAGAAAGAAAATGACTTTAGTATCTTGTCATTAATTAGTTCTGTCCAGTGGTGCACTGGATCTCACAAATGAACTTCACTGTTCATACATCATGCTCTTCCTGCTTGGGACCGGTATAAAAATCTTTTGTTCTTGGTTGTTTTTTTTTTTGTTTGTTTGTTTTGTTTTATTTTGTTTGTTTGTTAGTTTTTGTCTATGTCCCAAAATTCAAATTTTAATTGGTTCAGTGCAATCTGACAGGCTATCAGAAGACAGCATCATGGCTTTTGTTGATCTTTTTTTGTTTGTTCGTTTGAGTACTTCCTCTGAAGGAACTAAAGAAGTTTCTGAACAAAAGCTGCTCCAAATAGTAGAATTTTGTTCTAATAAGAAATAAGTCATCCTTCTGACTTCATTTAACAGTCTTTTACAAAATGCCAGCCCATGTAAATATTGCACAGTCTCTGTGCATCAGTTGAGCTCCTTTAAGTGTTACGATAAACATT